TAAGGTAGTGCCTAGAATGTTTTCAACACAAATTAAAATCGTGCTGCACAGCAAACAAGAAGAGAGCAAACTTGCCAAATGCTTTTCTCCGTAGTAGTTGAAAGTATCTATTTTATAGGATTTTACTAGATATTTTAAAGTATTTCAGCCAGAACATGCCTAAGGCCTCTATAGTCCCCATTTAAATACTCAGACAACCAACCTTAAAATAGGAGCTTCTTCAATCTTGTTCCTGTCCTGGAGCATACACAGAAGAAATCTAGTCTATAGTGAGAGACATGATATACACACCTGGTGAAGGATCCACCTGATAATCACACAGAACACCAAAAAGATCCCACTTTGACACAGATGCAGTCATGCCAGAACAGACCCAGCTGGCAGCAACAAAAAACTAGTGACAGTGCAACTGCTCCGGGTCAGGATTTCTGGCACAGATTCCATACGGAGAATTGAAGTAGCCTAACTGTACACACACACAGAGTTATATTTGACATGGAATAATGTCGAATGAATGGAAATAGTAACAAATATAAAAACAAAACTAGCCTTCCCCCAAAAAACCTACCACCACCAAGCATCCAGCACCCTTGAATAACGGGTGTTTGACTTTAGTGTATATTTATGTGTGTTAACACGTGCTTAAAGGATATTGAATGCTCACTGACATATATCACAGAGTAGGCATTCCTAGTTTATACTGCAGAGCTTTAAAGAGAACACTTTCCTCTGTCACCTGGGAATTTGGCCTCTTCCCTGCCTTGCAGATAGATACAACTTCTGTCTTGCTTTGCTTAAGGAGCAAAATGATCCTTAGCATGACCACTAGTGCAACACAAGCCACAGATACCTACAAGGGGGGGGAAGGGGGAAAGAATTCCTTCAAGGGCTTATTGTTGGTGAAGACAAAACCAAATTATTTATTTTGTGGCTAGATAACCACTACACATAATAGTGTGGTAGCAGGACTGCTAACTCCTTTGTGCCTTTCTTGGGGTTAAACCTTTAACAGGAAGGGAAGACATTAAACTGACAGTTCAACCCTAGAAACTCCAGCACAGAATTACAAAATTGGGCTGAGCAGAAGGTTCTTCCACTGCCACAAAGTGTGCTAATTCGAGAGAAAACAGAAGCCTCTACTACTTTCTTATCTATAAAACATGTTTTTAAAGTGACAAAATGGCACTTATTTGTAGCTCAATAAATGATAGATAATAATCTTTAAGCAAAATGAATCTTGATGTGAGATATGAACTGTCATGGGTATATCATTTCAACATGGTGATGAAGGAGTAGGGAGGGATGTTGCTTCTTGGGCTGAAGAACACCCGTACGACTACCCAGCACAGCACGCACTTCAGCAACATTCTCTTGAGGATCTCTGCATTGCTCTCCACTGAACGATGCCCTGTGCCCAAGGGCACATTGTCTACCTCCAAACTCATCTATCCGACTCCACTGCAGGTACTATGGCCAGGTGACCCAGCAATTTCTAAGACTTGTAACTCACATGACTGAACAGTTTCTGCATTTGGTATCATCAACTTTGTGCCACAAAAACGTGTTGCTCCATTAACACGAACCACCACAACGTGTTTAATATGTACTACTGTGAATACGGAAAAGCAGGTCTCACGAATCATGACGGCGATGGGCAGACAACCCTCTGCTAATCATGATGCAGTCACATAAGGACAAAAGTTTTTACCAGTTCGGACTAAGGAAAAGCAAAAACGTGCTCACAAGCTAAACATACTTACACTTAGGAGGTTTTCAGATTACGTATTCATCCCTTCATTAGGAATTAAGTAATGACGATGCAGAAAACCAAAGGGAAAGGGACAGATCAAACACGAGTTTCAATTTTTGTTTTAAAACTTTCCTCACTTTGATACTTCTGATACAGAGAAGTGTAGAAAAATGATCAAATGTTCAAATCATTTTCTGCACAGCTGAGGAAACAACACTGGACTATTTGTACACAAACAGCTTTGAGGCATTTTGCTTTTAATTTGCATACAATTCCTTAAAGTGAATTCCACATGAAGAAGGGTGAGATACAACAGAGCTTGTTTGCCATTTCACAAGTTAACAGAACAAAGTAAACATCTGTCCTTCTTATTACTTAGCTTCCATCCTGTGCTCCAATTTGTAACTTCCTACTGCAATTCTCCATGCCAAATAAACGCATGGCCTAGTTCCAAACTCCACAGACGTTCACGTGTGGACTTCAGTGATACTGCAAATTATAACAACAAGAAAAAAATTGAAATAGAAAGACTTTACATGAGCTGATTATTCTCTTCGTGTTTCTCAAACAAAGACCCAAAATTCAGAGTAAAAAAATACTTCAGTTGTTCCGCTCAGCTACTCATCTGACTGTGGTTCCTCTATGGAGCACACAGCTGAGGAGAAAAAAGAACGGTGGCTTTCTGTCAAAGAAGAGGGGGCATTAAATCAGAAATGGAGAGGTCTCAAAATAACTGTGCTAAAATGGACTTTCCAAACAGCTTATTTGGAGCACAGTCCGAGCATGCTCTTTCCTCCTACATACTGATAAAGTTTTCTAGCTATACAATTTCCATACATAGTTGCATTTGACCAAGCTTTTGGCTTCTTTCAAGCTGACAAATACCAACCCGATCAAAATATATTACAAAAGTATTATACGTATAATAAAATACTGGCATGGTGCTAAGGACAGCATCATCTTTCTTCGTGCTTTAATGACACCAAATAATAGGCTAAACATAGGTTAAAAGGGGAGCAGTAACAAATCTGTATGGCAGATCTTTCTGAGATGGGAGTGTCAGGTAATAAAAAAAGAGCCATAAGCTGCAAAGAAGCTGGGCCTCCCACCAGCAGCAGAAACTCCCTATCACTAGAGCTGTCTTTAGTTCGGTCTTAGAGCAATGAACACCAATTTAGCCTTGTTTAGCCTGAAAATTTACAGGGAGCCTTGTTTTTTTGGTGTAGGAATTCTCAAGATCAAGATTCTGTGACATTGCTCACAGTGAGCAGAGTGAAAAAGATCAAACTAATTGTGCTGAAGTGGAAAATGACAGAACTCAGAACTGCAGGTCTCCAATAGTAAGGGTCTGCATACGCACACAAGCCTACACACCACAGCACATCTGTCAATGCCAGTGATTCCATTTGGGATTTGCCAATTCTTTCCTCTCATGATTGTGGATTCTCCAGCAACTCGATTGAGTCTGAAATATGTCAGTACCAGAGAAGAGACTCTAACAATAAAAATCTTTGTACACTTTAATATTTATTAGTTCTCTAGTAACGTTTTTGCTATATATTTAATACTAGTGTGACAAAATTCCTGGTAATCATATCTCATGCAGGTAACTTAAATGAGGAGTTAGCACTATCTAAACTGGTAAAACCTACCACTAAGGGGTTACTTTTGAGTCTACAAGACAAGTATTTCTGCAACAATGACAACTAGTTGGGTATGCATGTAACATAACAGGCTCAGCTGAATGGACTTGGCAGGTATCTAAATGACAGCACAGCCTTCAGAAGGACTGGAGTGGCAACATCCTTTGACCTAAGTAGACTTGACATTACTGTTTAAGAGGGCTTGAGTGAAGTTGGAAGCATGTTGGAAATTGTCATTAGGAGAGATGGTGTTTCTGTAGTTAGTCAAATAGTTTACCTTTTGCTGGTTAAAGTTGCTGTGATTTCTTTCTCTGACAGGGTAAGATGGGGTACTCACTCTACCCATATTGCTATTGTTCAGGTCACAACAGAGATATTGAGAGCATACTGTACCTTTCTGCAGCTGAAGATGACTGATTGCTGCTATTCCTTCTCTGCAATTCCTTGGGGAGTACATTTTCATCAATACCAACTATGAAAACAAAGTCCCTAGGGTCCAGATTTTTAAAAAATATATTACAGGAAAAGTCTACTCATAAATCACTTTTTGGACTCCTACCATTCCCACAGGTTTCAAAACAAAATAAGTATAAATGAAATCATTAATATAGTAACAAGGGTTGTGACAGTCTTTTGTTGTACTGGGCATTTCCCTTTTTTTCACTGACATACATTCTAACAGAAATCCCACAGTACGAACAAGATAACTTCCATCAAAAAAGCAAAATGCAAATTATTCAGCCCAATGTTAGAGCATGTGTATGTGTGTATAATACTGTAGAAGTAGTCACACATTAGAGGTATATAATTGAAATAGCATTTTCTTTCATGAACCTGCTATTACTGAGGCAGTGACAAGGTTTCCATTTCTTTGTTTTCCGAGCTCTTTAAAGAATGGCTATTGTCACATTTTGTAAACCTAAATATTGTACAAGCAGAAGCTTGTTGGTATCAGGTAAGGAATAATACCACTAGTGCAAACAGGTGCAGAGACAATTCCTCCAGTTTTGGGATGAACCAGCTATATAACACTGAAAGAGGCCAGGCATCTTCAAAGCCACACTCATGCGTGTTTCTCCACTCAGACATACATCCTTCTCTGTCTTGGTCTTCTTTTTACAAGAGTAGTTGGGGGAGAACCACCAGCTTGTGTAATATTTATCATATGAAATACTTCTTGACTGTTTTCCTGTTAATAAGATGAATGTTTTATAACAAGTCAAGGAATGATAAATACCTCAAGCGTCAGGAAAGTGACAGTAATACTGACTTAGTATCTTTAGTAAAAAGTGAAACATTCTCTCCTGAGATATAAGTCAAGGAAGGAACAGGAACAATGAACCTAACACTGTACCATTATTTGATCATCATGCACCTCAGCTACCCAGATGAGAAAGAACAAATGTTTATTGCCCTCTGCTCATCCAAAGCTATGACAGGCAGTTTATTCAGGTAAGTGTTTGGCATACCAGAACGTTGTCAGAGCAGTTCTCACTGTACTGTCCCCCTTTAGCTTATTTCTTCAAAAGAAAAGAAAAGGAAAAAAAAAAAAAAGGGAAGAAGAAAGAAAGATGAAAAAAAAAGGAAGGAAGAATTTCTCAGCAGGTTTAACCCTCATCTTCTCTCAGCTCTGTGGGTAGAAATTTGTACTGCTGTTGGCGTATCTGGGCCAGTTTTTTCCTTGCCTCTTCCAGCTCTCTTTCCTTCTTCAGCATTTCTTCTTGGGCTGCAATGATCTAGAAAACACAAGCATACATTATGACAGCAAGGAGTACTGTCTGTAAAACAAGATTCCTTTCTCTGTGGCACCAGTCACAGGCAGGCCTTGACCATTCTCCAGAGAAACACCAAATTTCCATGACTTCAC